CAGCACTTGGTAAGCCTCGGTTTGCAATATATTTAATGGAGTGTTTGCTCTTTGCACCGACTCTGTCCAGGCCAGAGAGTCCGTACAAAGACAGATCGGAAGTGAGTTATTGGAAACTCCGGCGCCCGGATGTAACAGCAACGTCCTTTGATGGAGAGACTAGGGATCTCCGAGCCCTTTGACTTAGCTGGTCTCCATCTCCTCGGTTAGCAGGAGGGGAAGGCACAGAGGATAAGCCACTTCCCCGGGGTCGTGCAGCCACAGAACAGGGCTTCGATGTCGGAGCCCTGTGCGCTGAGATTCCAGCACCAAGCAACAGGGAGAGCAGAACGAGTTGTTCTCCCGCAGCAGTGCCAGCCACATTCCTCAGCCAGCACCACGTCCACGTACCCGTCTAACCACCCTGCCTGCAGGCGGCGCTTGCCCATCCAATGGGGCCACCCATTTCTGGCTACGGAGGAAGAGCGCGGCCCGCAGTGGGCTGATCCAGTGGGCGGGGCCGAGGTTTAAAAATAAAATGAGGAAACCAGCGCCCTAGGTATATGTCATTATCCTAATGGGAGGAAACACCTTAATGAGTCATTAGGTGGCTCAAACCTCTCATCTGCTCCTTCCTCAGCAGCATGCCCAAAATAGACAGCAAGTCACTCCAAACCAGTGTGTACCTAAGCCAGCCACCCTGGCCTCCCTCCCCTGCAAAGAGCAACACAGGCCAGGGCCCAAAATAGTCAAGTGAGTCCCTCCCGGGCCTCCCCCCGAAGGAAATGGCAGCAGGCCCCGGATTCACAACAAGCTCACCAGCTGCTGGCTTAGTGACGCGCCCAGCACATAGCGCAGGGCTACGATTGTTGTTCTAACACACCCTCAGGCTGCCATGTGCTTCAGGAGGCAGACGGGCAGGACCGGCCTGTGGAGCAAAGGGAACAGCTGTGAGATTGTGCTGCTAGTCGGGTTCACTCCCAGGCAAAGGCCGGCCTGAGTCAGATTGTCACGGGACTCCATGCGGGCAGGTGCCTTTACTCTTGCAGAGTTCTGTTAGAGACAACGAAACGGTACCGGGACACCAGGGTCCCCCCAGGATGGACCAGACTGCAGGAAGTGGATGAGAACCACTCACGAATTTTGGGGGTGGGGGGGTGAAATTGTTTTCCCCTCAGAAACTGTCGATGCCTCAGAATAGAAACTGTGCATGGGGGAGGGTTGGTTTCAAGTAAACGTTTGCTGGGAAAGGTCCTTAGAATGAGATTTCTGGTCAAAACCACTGAAAGACCCCACCCCTACAACAGCCACTAGACTACGGATTAGGGCATCACACCCATTGGAGTCCATGCAACTCCCCCCTCTTAGGTGAATGGTCTAACTGGCTACAGGCGATTCTAGGATAGAGCTGTTTCAAGCATTTCAAGAGATCTGTTTTGTCCTAATGTGGAATGGGATTTTTTTTAAATCTCAACAGTTAGCTCAGGATGGGAAAACCATTTCCCACCCATGCCAATCAGGGTGGCCTCTAGATAGCACACCTGAAAATTGAGGGGAAGTTACAATTGACTCTTGGGGACATTATAAACAGGAGTGCAAATGGGGCTGGTGATGTCCTAGCGATAAGAGAACTCCTTTGATTTCTGGATCTAGGTGAGACAGTATTATTCGGAGAATCTATCTTCAGTCAGCTAAGGGAGCTTCTCTTTTCCCTGTCTCATAACAGAAAAACAAGTGGACAGCCTACGAAATTAAGAGGGTGGCAAAATTGAAAGTGATCAATGGAACCTTTCCTATACAATGTGTGATTAGATGGTGGAACTCATTGCTATTGGAAAAGTAGCCAAAGTACAAAATTCTGTGATATTAAAACAAAAGGCTGGATCTTTATAAGGATAATATGAATATTCAAAGTTATAGCAGTTAATGTCTGCACTAGCTCGTTAGTTCGAGCTAGGTAGGCAAATGAGGGCAACCGGAGTTGCAAATGAAGCCCGGGATTTAAATATCCCGGGCTTCATTTGCATGTTCCCGGGTGCCGCCATTTTTAAATCCCCCTTAGTCCGAACTAACTGCCCGCAGCTAGATGCAGCAGTTAAACGTTAATTCAAACTAACTCCTTAGTTCGTATTAACTGTTACTCCCCATTCCACGAGGAGTAACAGTTAATTAATGTTTAAAATGTCTAGGCAGTTAAAAATGGCGGCGCCCGGGAACACGCAAATGAAGCCCGGGATATTTAAATCCCAGGCTTCATTTGCAACTCCGGTTGCCCTCATTTGCCTATCTAGCTCAAAGTAACGAGCTAGTGTAGACGTACCCTTTGAAAGGATATTACATGCCATGCCTAGGCAGAAATTGGTGTAATCCCTATCAAAGATCTGGATGAGACCTCCTGGGAGGTAGAGATAATCCCATGTTAAGCACTGTTGGGTTCTTCCACCTTCCATTGAAATATTTGGTGCCAGCCACTGTCAGAGGTACAATTAGGGACAAGACAGACCCAGGGTCTGATCCAATCTGGCAATTCTATCCCAATCTCTTACATATTATGGGCCATTAAGTTTCTCACAGATGATTCCTGCATTGACTTTATTAGCTTGTGGTTGAGCAGAAAGAGCGCCGACCTTTTATCTCAAGACTTCAAATAATGGAGAATCTGCCACATCCTTTTTTAAGCTGTTCCCATGGTCAGCTACCCTCCCCCTTACACTCTGCCATGCTGTGTGGCCAGGCCTACACAGACTTTTAAACCAGGACAATAATTACAAAGTTAGTGCCGCCAAACCAGAAATACGGGTTGAGGGTATAATTTTTCTGGCAACTGATTGGCTCTTCTAGGGAGATGATTCAGTGACTAAACATGTCAAATAATTCCTGAAGATTTAATCTGTTTATGATTTTTTTAGATGCACACAGAGGAGACCAGAGGACCTGGTATTCAGAGAAGTACAATTGTTCTGCTGGTAAATGCTCTGGGTTGGAAATAAGAGCACAGGACATTCCTAGCTACTTATCAAGCCCACATCCTTGTAATAGCCGAGCCACTCACAATCATCAGTGTATTTTATTGTCACAATATTAGTTATATATGTAGTGTGCCCATTTTACAGCTGGAGAACTGAGGCAGAAAGGGGACTCTACTTGTTCATGATCACACTGAGAGTTTGTTGCAGTGCTTGGAACATAAGAACATAAGAATGGCCATTCTGGGTCAGACCAAAGGTCCATCTAGCCCAGTATCCTGTCTGCCAACAATGGCCAATGCCAGATGCCCCAGAGGAGTGAACACAACAGGTAATCCTCACGTGATCCTTCTCCTGCCAACCATTTCCAGACAAACAGAGGCTAAGGACACCATTCCTACCCATCCTGGCTAATAGCCATTGATGGACCTAATCTCCATGAATCTATCTAGCTCTTTTTTGAATCCTATTAAAGTCCTAGTCTTCACAACATCCTCTGGCAAGGAGTTCCACAGGTGGACTGGGTGCTGCATGAAGAAAAACTTCCTTTTCTTTGTTTTAAACCTGCGACTTATTAATTTCATTTAGTGACCCCTAGTTCTTATATTACGGGAACAGGTAAATAACTTTTCCTTATTCACTATTTCCACACCAATCGTGATTTTATAGACCGCCATCATGTTTCCCCTTAGTCTCCTCTTTTCTAAGGTGAAAAGTCCAAGTCTTTTTAATCTCTCTTCATATGGGACCCATTCCAAACCCCTCATCATTTTTGTAGCCCTTTTCTGAACCTTTTCCAGCGCTGATATATCTTTTTTGAGATGAGGTGACCACACCTGTACACAGTATTCAAGATGCGGGCGTACCATGGCTTTATACAGAGACAATAAGATGTTCTCTGTCTCATTTTCTATCCCTTTTGAATTTATCCTGGATCTCCAGTCCAGTGCCTTACCCATCCTTCCACCCTATATGGCAGCTCCCTCAATGAGCTTCCGCAGTTATAAAGTACAGCTGCCTAGCAGACATGGAGGAACATCGGCAACTGTTCTTATAACCCAAGATGACAGCTACTAGCTCGGTCACACACGCCATACCTTTCAAGAGTTGCACAAACAGGCATTGTGACATCGTGACGCAAATCCAGTTCCTCGAGAAGAACTGCCTTTAGCCACACCCCTGTTTATAGTCACCACAGGACACCGCTGGACAGGAAACTCTCAACCTCATGGGTTAGAAATCTGCTGTATGGAGAACCCACGTGGTCGAACTGCAGTCCTTTAACTTGAAAGACTTTGGGGTGGGGCAAAGAAGCATAATATGAACATGCACCTTCTTGGTGCATCTCCGGCTGCTCTTTCAAACAGGTGAAGGAAGATGGGTCCTTCCAAATGACCTGGCCACCCTGTAAGTAGGGGTATTGAAATAGCAATTCAGCAGAATATACTATGGTCTACCAGAGGTCTTAGAAGCAGTGATGTGTCTTCTCTGAACCCCAGGACTCTGACCCCCTAAAAGCCTTCATTGGAGCTATTGGACCAGCTGAGGTTCTGAACCAGTTGAAAGTCAGGCCCACTGGCTAAGAATATGGCCTGTACATTCAGTTGCTTGATCTCACTTGGATTCCAGAAGGACCATTAACTATTCTCCTCTTCGCCGACTTGCTGTGTGAGAGTCTCAATATGGAGACCGCACAGAAGAGCTGCATAGTGGAGCATTAGGACCAGATCCCCCTGCGCCCCAACGCTCACCCCAAATCTTCCTTCGCTTCTTTTCATTCCACCGCCGCACAGCCCTTTGCACCATCGAGATCATTCCAAGTTCAGTCTCCTCTCACCTGCTGGAGTGACACTGGTGTCACCCCCGTCTTTAATGAACCAGTGTAAATCTGGAGTATTAAGGCTTTTCTCCTTCATTACTGACAGTCACCGGCAGCCTGCCCCATTGCTACCTGGTTCACCTCTTGATCCAGATGTTGGATGATTCTCCTCCCATGTCAACTAAGATGTGGGGGGCTTAGATCCAAAGGGAATGGGGAAGTCTGCTCTAGGCCAGTTTCATTTTTATTGTTCTTAGTTAAACAAGCTGGATAGGATGACGACAATTACAGCTTTACCGCCAGCGCGGTGACAAGGCGGGAACACAATCAGCGGAGCAGTAAGCACGCACGGTGCTCTGTCCATGGCACACCGCACCTCTGGACTTTGAGACTGCTTATCCATTCCCGGGGAAACCGGGCGTCACTTTACAACATCGGTCCTCACCCACTGCCGAGAAAAGGGAAGAGAAAGTGAAACTGAGTTACGGTCTCCCACAATCAGAGGTAAAATATTGAAGGGTGGCGGCCCAGCAGATAGTGAGGGTGGAGCTCACCCGTGGTGGGAGGCAGGCACCGTGTGCCACGGAGCGATTTCCCGCATCTCAGAGGTTTGCAGGCACTAGTTGGCAAATGGCAGGGGGCAGCGAAGTCACCCAAATCCCATCCCAAAAACGACTCAGCATGAACCTGGACAAAGCACTCGAGACTTCTCGGTAATAGTCCTGCAATGACCAGAGCTTCAGTGACTTTAGGAGACCTTCCTGCATTTCTAGAGGGCTCTCGTTTCTTGAAGTTTAACAGAAGGACCAGCGCTAGTAGACAATCTCTTTACCAGCATATAAATCCTGCTGGCTATCGGCTTTATCGTTTTTCATCTGCAGAGAGATTCCCCCCCAGGTTATTTAGCTGGACTGGACAGACAGGCAGCAGTCAATTATAACATTTGTACATTTATTCCTGCCTACACGTCTATCCTTCAGCAGCGCCGGTCCCTCTCCAAAATGCTCTAACATTCTACAGTTACCGTCTCCAACACCACCTTGAAATACCTGAAGCACGTTGGCCCAGTGAACAGATGGGCAGCAAGATGTCTGGGTCCTATTCCCAGTTTTGCCCCATGGGCAAGTCACCTGTCGTGCCTCAGTTTCCCCTATAGAAATAGGGAGGGTTGGCTTGTTTGTTAATACTAGAAAAACATACAACGTCCTCAGATGAGACGTGCTACCGAGTGACACGGGAGGGATCAGGAGCATTTGGGGACAATCAGGCAGCGGGGCGCGTTTTAGCAGCAGGATGAACTCATTGCAAATAGGTCCCGGCAGGTCTTTGAGACAGGAAAGGAGACGCAGCGGAGCCAGCTACATGCCTGTGTCTGCCCACTGTCCTGATGGAGCTGCGCAGATTCCCTTCGTTTAGCAGGAGAGGAGGAATCTGATTGTTGTGCATGAACAGCAGCAGCCCGAGAGAGAGAGAAGCAAGACTACCATGAAGAATACCGTTCGAAGACGCCTCTTCAGGTCCCAACATACAGAATTCTAGGTGGATGAAGGCAGAGTCCATAGGTGCATAAACTCATTGGGGCGGATCTGGCTGATGGATGGATCTTGTTACGACCATTTTCATAGATGTTGTCCACAGCGTAGTACTGGCAGTAATTTAAAAATGCATTTTTCATTTCATTCTACACCACTTTGACCTTTGTTCGGCACCAGTTTCAGATTGCCCCTTACAGTCTCTGGTCTGGTCTGGTGGCGAGCTCCTCAAGCAATGTAGCTTCCACTAATTGTCTGGGACTATTCCAGAGTCTTGGGGTAAGACTTCCAGAAGTGCAGAACAGACTAAGGCCAGGTCTACACTAAAGGAGAAGGATGAATCAAGATACGCAACTCCTGTCGGCTTTTCTTACTCCTCACAGGAGTACAGGCTGCCTATTGGGGCACTCTCTGAGTTTGATTTAATGGGTCTTATCTAGACCTTTGAAATCAAACTCCGGAAGATCAATCACAGCAATGTTGATCTTCCACTGAGTGAAGACATGGCCTATGTCCCATTTTCAAGATTGACGTGGGCATTCCGCCACTTTTGAAAATGGGACCCTGGCTCTTTTGAAAAGTTTTATTCTTTGTCTTATCTTGTGGCTTCCAGAGTAGTCAATCCTAATCGTTAGTTAAATTCTGCATAAACATAAGAACATAAGAACGGCCGTACTGGGTCAGACCAAAGGTCCATCTAGCCCAGTATCCTGTCTGCCGACAGTGGCCAGCACCAGGTGCCCCAGAGAGGGTGGACCGAAGACAATGATCAAGCGATTTGTCTCCTGCCATCCCTCTCCAGCCTCTGACAAACAGAGGCCAAGGACACCATTTTATCCCCTGGCTAATAGCCTTTTATGGACCTAACCTCCATGAATTTATCCAGCTGCTCTTTAAACTCTCCCTCCTCTGGCAAGGAGTTCCACAGGTTGACTACACGCTGTGTGAAGAAGAACTTTCTTTTATTAGTTTTAAACCTGCTACCCATTAATTTCATTTGGTGTCCTCTAGTTCTTCTATTTAGGGAACTAATAAATAACTTTTCTTTATCGGCCCTCTCCACACCACTCATGATTTTATAGACCTCTATCATATCCCCCCTCAGTCTTCTCTTTTCTAAACTGAAAAATCCCAGTCGCTTTAACCTCTCCTCATATGGGACCCGTTCCAAACCCCTAATCATTTTAGTTGCCCTTTTCTGAACCCTTTCCAAGGCCAAAATATCTTAAAATATCTGGATATAGTTCAGCAAAGGCTGAAATATTCACCCACAAACAGAGGAACAGTCATATGCAGGGGATAGCGTCAATGTCTTTTTATAGGCTTTCCATTTAGAGGAGACACTCCTTCTCTACTATTTTTTTAAACCCACAGCAAGATTAAGAAAAAGGTGGATGTAACACAAGACATTGTCACACACTTCTTCTGGCAAGCCAACCCCATGCTATGTCTTGATTTGGAAGAAAAGACCCATAAGGAGAGACAGGGCCATTTTCATTTTTTGACAAGTTCTCCTCAGAAAAGGTTCACTGAAGAGCTGTAGACGTAGAATCCTAGAATCCTAGGGTTGTAAAGGACGTCAGGAGTCATTGAATCCAACCCCCTGCTTAAAGCAGGACCAATCCCAACTAAATCATCCCAGCCAAGGCTTTGTCAAACCTGGACTTAAAAACCTCTCAGGATGGAGATTCCACCCCCTTCCTAAGGAACCCATCCCAGCGCTTCCCCACCCTCCTATGGAAATAGTTTTTCCTAATATCCAACATAGACCTCCCCCACTGCAACTTGAGCCCATTGCTCCTCGTTCTGTCATCTGTCACCACTGAGAACAGCCTCTCTCCATCCTCTTTGGAACCCCCCTTCAGGAAGTTGAAGGCTGCTCTCAAATCCCCCCTCACTCTTCGCTTCTGCAGACTACATAAGCCCAAATCCTTCAGCCTCACCTCATAAGTCATGTGCTCCAGCCCCCTAATGATTTTGGTTGCCCTCCTTGGACTCTCTCCAATGTATCCACATCCCTTCTGTAATGGAGTGTGGGGCCATAATTGGACAATACTCCAGATGTGGCCTTACCAGTGCTGAATAAAGGGGAATAATCACTTCCCTAGATCTGCTGGCAATGCTCTTCCTACTGCACCCTCAAATGCCATTAGCCTTCTTGGCTACAAGGGCACACTGTTGACTCGTATCCAGCTTCTCCTCCACTGTCATCCCCAGGTCCTTTTCTGCTGAATAACTACTTAGCCAGTTGATCCCCAGCCTGTACCAATGCTTGAGATTCTTCCATCCCAAGTGCAGGACTCTACATTTGTCCTTGTTGAACCTCATCAGATTTCTTGTGGCTCAATCTTCCAATTTGTCTAGGTCACTCTGGATCCTATCTTACCCTCCAATGTATCTACCTCTCCCCTTACCTTTGTGTCATCTGCAAACTTGCTGAAGGTGCAATCCATCCCCGCATCCAGGTCGTTAATAAAGATGTTGAACAAAATTGGCCCTAGAACCGATCCTTGGGGCACTCCGCTAGAAACTGACCGCCAACCAGACATCGAGCCGTTGATCACTACCCATTGGGCATGACAATCTAGCCAGTTTTCTGTCCTCCTCACCGTCCATTTATCCAATCCATACTCTCTTAACTTGCTGGCAAGAATATTGCGGGAGACCATTATCAAAAGCTTTGCTAAAGTCAGGGTATATCCCATCCACTGACTTCCCCATGTTCTCAGAGCCAGTTACCTGGTCACCGAAGGCAATCAGGTTGGTCAGGCATGACTTGCCCTTGGTAAATCCGTGTTGACTATTCCTGTTCACTTCTCCCTCTTCCAAGTGCTTCTGGGATTCCTTCCATGATTTTTCCAGGGACCGAGGTAAGACTGACCGGCCTATAGTTCCCTGGATCATCCTTCTTCCCTTTTTTGAAGATGGGCACTACAT